TCGGTAGTTGAGGATCTGGAGCATAGCTCCAACGACGACTGGCCACGCTAAACGTGTCAATATGACGAGTGGTCCACACGACGGAACATGTGAAAAATGCTCCACGAGGCTGGCCACCCGTCGTCCAAGTTGGCACCATCAAATAGAGAAAGTGAAGAGCCATTTTGGGTGAATTTCGTAGACCCCAAAGTGGGAAGACCGGCCATTAAAACATCCTCGAAAAGTCCAATTCGGCTTGAAAGAAGACTCGGACGTAGTCAGGCTGTACATCAAAACAGCGCCTCTTGTCCATCGAGAAAGAGACAGAGCAAGTGAAAAGGAACAGCCCCGCCAATGGGCGTCCATGACGACATGACTCTTTTACCGCCGCGGACAACGGACTACAACATACCCTTTTTGGAGAAGCACTTGGCCAACCAACTGCGTCCGAAGCAGATGTCCACACGTTCCGCATGTCGCATCACCACCAGCCGGCGTCGATTAGTCTTGCCTACAAGAATCGCGTCGTCTGGCGATAATTGGCTGGCTTGGGGATTGGCCGGAGTCGACTTGACAGCAAGCAGGCTCCCGAGGCCGAGGGAGTGAGGCTTTCTCTCGAAGAAAGAAGCATGACCATTATCTGAGACGTGTAGAAATGAGGAAAGGAGGATGAACAGCACAAATGTTGACCAGGAGAAGGACAGAGAAGACATACATCAAAAGCAACAATGACCCAAAAAAAAGAAATAATTAATTTTGAGTAGAAGCGGAATCTGAGACTAAGAACAGAACAAGAGAACAGAGTAGAAAGTTTGTTAAAATAGGTCTTTATAAGTTATTTAAGGGCTGAAAGTTGAGTTTTTGCACAGTCAGATGAATAGGCCCAACGAAGCTGTTGAATTTCACTTGGCTTTGCCTCTAAAAGATTATTTCATCCAGCTTGGAATGGACCTTGCCTACTTGAGATACTTATTTTGGGTATAAATAATTTGTAAGACTATCACCAATTCTCGAATAAGCATTGAGTGAGAATAGGTCTTTAGAGACTTTTGCCCAGCATATGATGGGCATCATCAGAGCTGGAACTCATTCTTGCAAAAGTGTCACGTTAACAAACACTGATGATGTCCATCATATGAGGATGTATTGTCCTTTGCGTCAACCGGAAAGTCGTATAAAGCCAAATAGCTGCAGTAGAATGCGAATCGGCCGTCATCTTCTGGTGAGATCTACCTTCGCACGTTAATACGAAATGAAAGTCTCACCGACAATAAAAATATGCCTTTGCTTGATTAAGCCGGATTAGTCAAAATCGGTAGCCCTTAATTAAGGAATTGAGTAAGTTCTTATTCTTTAATAATTCCCAATTTCAAAACCTACTCACAACTATTATAAGTAGCGTCGTCACTGTAATGGAAAATACGTGCATGCCGCGTCGAAAATCGCAATACAAATTGTCAATCTGAACGTGGTATTAAAGCCAAGCGGCGCAGTACACTACGAACCGGCAGTGGTCTTTTTGTGAAATCGACTTTCGAATCTCTTCTTCATGCACATTCATACCAAGTGAAAGTATCTCAAACAATGTTATTTCAGGAGATTCATCGAAACCTGGTTGCTTATTGCATCCATAACATTTTTGGTCGTCTATTAGCTCCAGCTCTCGGAGCGAAAGCTTAGTTGAAGCTGCAAATGTCACCCAACCTAGTGTCATAGCAAGCCTTCTCGGTGACAATGAATTGTAGCCGCCGCCTCGAAGATTTGAAGCCCAGTGAATAAGTTAGTTGGAGGCTATAGTTATCGGTGAAATGGAAGATGCTACTGGTTGTGATTGGAAACTATAAGCAAATCAGTTATATCTTGTGTTCACGGATTAACATATCCCCAATTCGCACGACCGAGTGGCATAAATAAGCATTAATCTTTAAGAAAAGGGGTCATTTGGCTGCTAACAAGAAATTAAGTTGTCTAACCAACCAATCGAGTCATAGTCAATTCAGATGAGTTCTAAACCGAGTCGGAAGCAATGGGGATAAAATTGGTTTTCTTTTGAGATTAAGTAATTTCATAGACTATCATTCGTGATTCACGAAAAAGAGTTTAGTCAGCACAAGCTGATTAAGATAATTCTGGGAGGTTTAGTTGACTTTGCCACAAAATGATAAAAGTACGCCTCATAATGCCGGTGACTCTCATTTAGGCTTGCCTTCCAACAGCTTTCATAATCCAAGGTGTACCGCAGATTTTACCTCCTCCCGATTCTAACAGATGCCGCCTAAACGGTATTTGAGCCCGGGTCTGGAATATCGGACTCCAATACATGGCCACGGGATCCGGTGATTCACAGGGCAGATGTAACATTCAAGACAAGCCGGAAATGTATAAGATCACATTGCCCGGTGGGATTGTCGACCAAGTAAGCATGTGTCTGCTGTTGCAAGCGACGGCGATAAATGTTTTCGATAAGAGTAGTTTGCAAGATTATAGAGCTGAGGGTGATTTTGAAGACTCATAATCGACTTCACCCACATTGACAGGAGTGGGCCTGACAAATACCATTTCTTGGTTTGGTCGAATGACCAGTTCGTTATTCCAGCATTAATGATACATTCTAGCCATACTCACATCAAGTTTGGAGGGTTTAAGGCAAAAGAGTGGTCATACTTTGTGAGTCGATGTTGGCGTTGGGTTTCGAGAGCAGTTTTAGATTGCCCAAACAGGCGAACCGAAGACGAGAAGCTGCTCTGACCGGCGCACTCCGAGCTTCACCGATTGAGTCCGGCTTGACGGACTGGATCTGGCCGTTGGAAGGCAGAAAAAAAGCGCAATCAAGCTCCGCGCCATTGGCTTGAGGCCGACAATCACTGACAGGATCACATGGTTCACCAGAACCAGTGAGACTGTTGGGGTTTCGGTTTCGAAATCTGTTTGGCCTGAACTTCTTAATTGTACCGCCGGAGGCGTCGGGGCCACAGACGATTGGCGGAATGTAAAGGCAGCCGGAACCGGATTGCGCGGTGGCACATGTTGCCATTGCACACGAGGCGACAGCCGCTCGAGGCTCGACTGTTGCCTGACCCAGAGGGAGTGGACCAGCGGGCTCACCTTCAGCGCGTCCGAGGCAACCGGAGTCCGGGCTGAGCCGGGATTCGTCGAAAGATGCCGTGAAAAAGAAAACGGAAAGAGAAGAGCACATGCAGAAAATTGTGAATGCTCAGTGAAGGAGGTGGGCAGCTGAAGAAGGCTTTTGTAGAATAAGGTAATCTGTAATTCTCTTAAATAAGAACTTGATAAATATAGACAGTTTAAGGGGATTCAAGTAATAATGAGTAATAGGACAGATGAGGCATTTAAGGCAAGCCAGGCCTTGTCAAAATAACATTTTCAAAGTAACATTAACGATTAAGCAAACACATATTTTCCACTGACATAAATGATGCTACTTAATTCCTATAGCAGTAGCTTTCGAGACTTTCTATCAGGCTTGAATAAAAAATTTGGCCATAAGGAGCTTGCATCTAGCAGATGTTGAACATCGGGAGCAGAGAATGAGGATACTAAGGAAAATTTAAGTTGGCAATGATCACCCATTAGGATTAATTGACAATCGCTTCAAAATACGAGCAAATAGGAGAGAGAAAAGCATCTATTTGTGGCAGGATAGGCAGCCGGATCGCTCGACGAGGGCCCTGATGCTAGCGTCGTGCCAACTTTCGAGAAGGATAAGCGAACAAATCAGGAAGTGGGATATCAGGACAATTGACCAAGAGAAAATATAACTTTCTTCACTTCAACTTATCGAAGGTGCACTGCAATAGATGCTGAAGGAAATGGATATGAACAGGGAAATCGACAAATAGATAATGAATTCACTCATTAGAAATGATGCAAGAGCCTTATTGGCATACAGTTTGCCAAAGGTACACAAATGAGAACCACTAAGACTAATAATAAACAACAAACATGGACCGAGACATAAATTGGCGAAATTTATCTGACTCAAATTTAGGAAAGTGAATGACATATTATCGAATACAGTGAAAAGCGCATACGGAGTTTGCCAAAGACTGAAAAACACTAGTTTGGGAGGAAAATAACTTTTTGAGGTTTGATGCATAGTCCATATAGAATAAAATCAAGGGAGAAGAAGCACTCACCGCACTACTGGAGATCTTGGAAAAAACAGATGACATCCCGGAGACGGAGCGAGTCTGTAGAGAGTCTCTAACCCGATTAATCAACTGAACAATAAAAACGACCTATTTCACGTTCAACAACTGCATCTATGAGCAAATATTCGGTCTATACGAAGAAAACGCGGCCGACCTCTTTTGGTGAGATTGACCTAAGAATCTCTTCAGCATGTACTTGCATACGAAATGAAAGTCTTCACATCAAAAATACATGGTCTACGTTTGGGCTCACCGTTCTCACCTCTTTCGGCTAATGCCTACATGGACAAGTTGGGGTAGAAGTTCAAAACATCACCTCAGCAGCCAACAGTAACTATGCGATATTTTAATGAATACTTCCACAATTTAGTTGCATGGAATAAAAAAATGTTAAGCCTTTCTGATCTTCACCAACAAAGTGGCTAAAAGTCAATTTTACCATTAATTTGGAAAAAAGAATAAGAAGAAGAGGAGGCTCTCAAGAAAAAACTTTTCTGAAAGAAATCGCACGCTGGAATAACTCTTAACTTCCAGTCGAACCATACTTATGGGATGAAGATGGGAATACTCCGGAGTATAGTCATAAGAAGCTTACGACTCAACGCTTCTGAGTTGTGGAGAGAAAAACTGAGAAAACTGACTCAGATGTCCCTTGGAAACAGATATTGATCAGAGGCAATAGAACGCAACACACAGATAGTGATGAAGAGATGGAAGAACAGAGATCATGAAAGGAGAGGAAGAGGAGCAGAGGAAAGACGATGGATCTGTCTATCCTTATGTGAATTGACTCGGAAGCCACGGCCAATGCTGGGGAAGCGGAACATTGGTACAATCCTGAAGGAGGGGACAACGCTGTTCACCAGCTTGCCCAAACAACATGAAGGAGTCAACAAAGTAGAGTGCTCCGGAGTTCAAAGGACCGTGATGAAAAATACATCAAGGATTCGGAAAGGACAATCAGCACAAGGATCAAAGGACACCGGCGACCGTAAGGCTAAAGAAGACTGCGACCAAACAGAAGGCCACACCTTCTTGGTCTCCATATCTACCATCTTATTGAGGGATTCTTCGAAAAGCAGTTTTCAACATAGCAACCTGAACAGCCAAGAATCGAGATGCTCGAGTGAAACAGTGTC